GGAGGGGAGGTGGAGGGAGGAGGGGAAGTGGAGGGAGGTGGAGGGGAAGTGGAGGCCGAGGGGGAGCGGAGGGAGGTGGAGGGAGGCGGAGGAAGGGACGGAAGGGAGCCGAGCGCTGGACGACCTCGTCGAGGATCCTCCGAGGGCCCCGGCGCCCCTCGCCGCGGCGGGAGCGGAGGGCGCGGCGGGGCCGAGCAGGCCGCCGCGGGGGGTCGTTCCCGTTCCGGGTCGGCGGCACTGGCCGTAAGGCCTTTGCAATAATGATCAGGAGATGTAAGTGGAAGAGGCGCATTCCTTATCTACGCAGGAAAGGTCTCAGAAGTGTGACAGCCAGAGTGCTCCGCAGTCCCCCGCAAGCTCGGGCCGCCTAGTCCAGACCCTCCACTTCCTCGTCCTCCTCCTCCTCCTCCCCCCTCCTTCCCCTTTTCCCCCTCCCCTCCTCCTCATTATCCTCCTCCTCCTCCTCTTCCTCCTCCTCCTCCTCTTCCGCCTCCTCCTCCTCCTCCTCCATCCCCCATTAGCGTTTCGAGCGTTTCGAGCGTTTCGGCCATCGTGGGCTCGATCCCGCAGACAGCATCGAATCTCGGTCGCATCGAGTCAAGCTGGACTCCTCCTCCCTCTCCGCCCCCTCTCCATCCCGCACTCTGCTGCGCATCCCGCCCACCCGCACGGCAGTGGACGCCCCTCCGCCGCGGGGCGCCTCAACGACGGCGCCGCGACGCGGGCCGTCGGAGGCGAGCGCAGGTTCGGGATCGTCTCGCACTGGGGCCGCGGGGTGCGGGAAGGCAGCTGGCCCAGGGGGTCGGCGGCGGCTTCCCTGAGATCCGGGCGCTGCACCAACGGATCGCGGACAACGAGGCTCTTTGAAGTTCGGTGTTCGAAGTTTGCGGACGTTCTCGTCGGTGCTCGACGGTCTTCCAAGCCAGCCTCGGGATGCCCTCCATCGGCCGCCGCGCCTCTCGGAGAGCGCTCCAAGGGTGCCGGGATCGTCCCGAACGGCCGCCGGAGGACCGAGTGATGCCCCGAAAACCGAGCCCGGCGGCGGCCCTCTTGAGATCTGGGCGTGGAAGTTTTTCACACCGGGCGAACTCACCCAGTCTCGGGCCCCAGGACCAGCACAGGTCCATGTGCAGGCTTTGGGACTTCGAGTGCGCGCCAGACGGGTTGGAGGCAAGGAAGCAGGCAGGAGGAGTGAAGGTGGGAGGCAGGAGGGAGGGATGGATGCTGTGGAGTAGTATGCATGGCGATGGAGTGCTATACCATGCGGTTCAGTGCCATCACAGGATGCGCCATGCTACGCCCTGCTATGCAATTCCATTCACTGCGCGCTTGCTATGCTTACGTGTTGTTACTACATGCGTTGTACAGCAAAACCTACTATGAAGTACTGCAATGCCGTGCTATGCTGTGATACGCATCATTTTGATGCGGCATAATACAGAATATTAGATACTCGCTTGTGAGCATGCTGAAAGAGTGGGAAGCACTGTGGCGAGAGTTCTTCGCTTCATGTGGGATATGCAACGACTGGTCAACCTAGCATGGACAAACTGAAAGGCTCCTCTGATCTCGACACTCATCCACCTTCAGAACCCTGGTGTTGAAATGAAGCATCAGCAGGCCGAGATGCCCAACTCACGAAGGTTGAGGGACGCCCTCCTCTCTCTTTCTCTCTTACTCTCTTACTCTCTCTCTCTCTCTGCTTCTCTCTCTCTGTCTCTCTGTCCCTCTGTCTGTCTCTCTCACTCTCTCTCGCACTGCCCCCCTCTCCCCTCTGAGAAGAAAAAGGAGGAGGAAGGGGACGACCGCGACCCACTCGGCTCAGCACTCCGTGGCAACGGGTCGGCAGAAGGCGGCGTGCCTGACACGGCCCCGCGTCCGAGGAGTGGGGCGCCGGCTCGATTGCGGCGGCCGCAGAAGAGGAGAGAGATAGGACTCGAGGAGGGAAAAGGGAGGAGCAGCCGCCCTGCCCTCCGCTGCCTCCTCCGCTGCCTCCTCCCTGCTCATGCTCCGCGCCGCTCCCATCCTCCACCGCCGCCACCACGACGCCGCCTCCGCGGACGCCACCGCCACCGCAGCCTGCCCACCCCTTCACCCCCTCCTCGCCCTCGGCTGTCGCCCAGCAGCCTCGGCCAGCTCTGTCGGGCACGGCGTCTGCGGTCCCTGCTGACATCCCTCCCTCCCTCCTTCCCTCCCTGGCCACCCCTGCGGGTAGACCGCACATCGGGGCAGGAAGTCGGGGCCGCCGCGCACCTTCCTGAATGCAAGCAGCACCCTCCGCAACCAGGCCAGTCTTGGCGAGCGCTCTGGATTCCGCAGCGCACCAAGAAATCGGCCCAGGAGTCGCAGCCCACGGCGAAGGGGCCGCTTGCAACGTTATTGGCGCTCGCGTGATTGGGTGTTGTGTGCGTGTGCGTGTGCGCGTGTGCGTGTTTGTGTGTGGTGCGTGTTGTGTCGTGCTGTGCGCTGTGTACTGTGTGCTGTGTTGTGTGTGTTGTGTGTGTGTTGTGTGTTGTGTGTGTGTTGTGTGTTGTGTGTTGTGTGTTGTGTGTTGTGTGTTGTGTGGTGTGCGGTGTGGTGTGTGGTGTGGTGTGTGGTGTGTTGCGTGGTGTGCGCCGTGTCGTGTTCTGTGTTGTTTGCTGTGTGTTGTGTGCTGTGTGTTGTGCGTTGTGTTTTGTGTGTTGTGCGTGTGTTGTTGGTGTGTTTGCTGTTCTTGTTGGTGGTAGTGGTGGTGGCGTTGTTGTTGATGTTGCTGGTGTTGTTGTTGCTGTTGCTGTTGTTGTTGATGTTGCTGTTGCGATTGCTATTGCGGCTGTTGATGTAGTAGTTGTTGTTGGTGGTGTGCTGTTGTTGTTGTCGTTGTCGTCGTTGTCGCTGTTGTTGTTGTTGTTGTTGTTGTTGTTGGTATTATTGTTGTTGTCGTTGTTGTTGTTGTTGTTGTTGTTGTTGTTGTCGTTGCCGTCGTTGTGTGTGTTGTTGCGTGTGTTGTGGCGTGGGCTTGCTGATCGGCGGCGCGCCGACCATCAGCCCCACCGCGCAGCGCGCTGCGCAGCCTGCCGCTGCCGGCGCAGCCCCGGCGCTGCCGCCCCGCCTGCGGGGGTTCTTGCAGGCGGGGCGTTCCTCCTCCTCCCTGTTCGCTCCTCACCCCCCTGCCCACTCTCCCTCCCTCCGCGCGCCGCGATGGCGCCTGGACTGCGACCTGCAGCCGCCACGCCAAGGGGACCTGGGCCTGGTCTTGCCGCCCGCCCCCCCGCGCTGGCCCAGCATTCTGCTGGACGCCCTCCGCCCCTGGCGCACCTCTGCTTGCCGCACCCACCGCGCACCCACCTGGGTGGCGCGTGGCCCGCCGGCCCTTGCACTTCGTGCTCCCCGGAGGTTTCGTGATGTTTGCCTTGCAGCACTGTGCCCGTACTGGGCCCCGCCGCCGCTGGAACCCCGGCGCAGCAGCCGCCTCAGCCCCCGCCGTCGGGGCTGGCCGCGCCAGCTCACTCAGGGAGGGATCCGTCCCCTCCGAGTGGCCCTCGTTTCTGTTCCCCTCCCTGCAGCCGCCCGCTCCGTCCCTTCTCCTTCTCTTGCACGCTGGCCAATTCACTACAGCGGTGCACCCGTTTAGTTAGCTTCTTCCGACAGCGCAGACGACCCCTGCCCAGCCGCCGGCGCAACAAAAATGTTGGTGTGTGTGTGTGCGTGTGTATATGTGTGTTGTGCGTGTGGTGTGTATGCGTGCGCGCGTTCGCAATCGTTGCAGAGCGCGGCCCGCATGCGATCTACACTCCGCCGATCGTGGCCCCGCGGGTGCGTCGAGGTTGATTCCCCCCCGGCGGCGCGCTGCCCGCCGGCGCCCTCGAGGGACGGTGACCGCTGCTCCCTGGCACTGCTCGGTGCACGCCGCCCGCCCGCCGCCGCGCGCCCCATTCAGGCACGCTGGTGCTGCGCCCGTCCGCCGCGGCAGGCCCCGCCGTCGCTGCCCGCTGCCCGCCGCCACCCGCTCAGGGCCTGGCCGCCCGCCGGTGCCCGTTTGGCTGCCGCTGCTCCCCGCCGCTGCCAGCTGCTGCCCGCTGCCTGCCGCTCCCCGCCACTGCTCCGTGAGGGGCTGGAGCTGCCCCCCTGTGGTAGACTGGCTTGGCACGGCTGTGACTCGTTGAACGCTCGCGAGGCTTCCACCCGTGCTGCGTGCGAGCGGAAAGGGTGTGTGTGTGTGTGCCTCGCTCCCCTCAACTATCTACGCCGCGACGCCGCGGGCGTGGCCGCGATGTGAAAAAAGTGTGCATGCGTGTGCGTGCTCGTGTGTGTGTGCCTGGCCAATTCGCTGCTCACGAGACCTGTAGCTTTGCATCGGTCGACTGAATCTCATCGGCGCGTCGGTGGACAGGTGTGTGTGTGCGTGTGTGTGTTTGTGTTTGTGTTTGTGTGTGCGTGCGCGTGCGCGTGCACGTGCGTGCGTGTGCGTTTGTGCGGGCGCAGCCTTCTCGGCCTGCTGGTAGGACGCTCGCTTTATTCCGCCCCTCTCCCTCCCCGGATGGCGCCGCTCGTTTTGAGTCCTGCCTCTGTTCGTCCTGCACGCGCTTGCTCTTGGCTGCTCAGCGGTCGGTCGTGTCCGTTCCTCACTGAGTGCTCCTATTATCTCGCTGCCACACGAGGCGGCCAAGTCACTGTGAGCGCGACCCGCCTTCGTGTTTTTAGCCCGCTGATTGCAGCCCATGGGCGCGCCCGAGGAAAGGTGTTTGCTTGCTTGGTGGTTGGATGGTCGGGTGGCGAGGGGGGCTCGGCGGGGAGGGAATGCGAGGTCTTCCAGGATGAGAAAATGGATTGAGCGCTCACGTTCTAGCCGTCGACGTCGTCCCCACTACCATATTTAGCGGCACTCCCTTCGTCTGCATGCCCTCGCCTTCCTCCCTACCCTGCGTGTGCTGATCTTTCCTGTAGTGTGTTGTGGAAGAAGATGGCGACCGAATCCATGAAGAATGAACCACGAGATGAATTGTGGTCCCCGTCGACCATCACCATATTCTTGTCCCCCGCGTAAGCCTGCTAGCACCCAATCCCTGCCAACCATCTTCTGGCTGCTTGCATCCGTCGGCTCCCTCCCGTCCAGATCTCTCGTCGTCTGAGAGAGGTGACACAAGCTGTCGAGGTCCGAATCGAAAACGTATCCCTCGTTCAACTCTTCTGACCTGCTTCTTATCATAATCCTGGTCTCTGCGTCTTACTCCTTGCTTTGGCTCATCGACTTGGTGCTCATCCTGCTCGTCCCCTAGCCATGTTCACTCAAAGAGAGCAGCCTGGCTTCAGTGGTGCGGCACCCCACTGAAGGACCATTCAATGGGCCACACCAAAGCATGTTTCGCAGACCTAGCTGGATCGTAGACGATCTGCCTCGAATGAGGCAATCGCCGAGTAGAACGCGGACTCTATTTAGTGACGAAGACCGGAGCCAAGAACGTCGCTGACGGCATCGCGCGTAAGGCGGTCGTCGCCGTCACTGGACTGCGCACGTAGGCAAGGCATCACGAATTGTGGCCAGACGACCCGATCTGGGCGTCTGGGTACAGTCGGGGCCTTGACCTGAGGAACCCCAAATAAGGAACGAGGCCCCTTTTAACCATGAGTTAAACTTCGATTTCCCATCGAAACCCTACGGAAAACAGAAGGAAAACTGTGAAACAATCAAGGAACACGGAGCCCCTCCCAAACGAGAAGGGTTCCTTCTTCAGCGCACCGACTGTATCAGCCGTGCCCATATCACGGCACAGCACTTGCGGAGAACGCCGAGGCCGAAGCCCCCCTCCCCCCAGTTCTCTCGCTGCCGGCAGCCGGGTCTCAAGGGCAGGGCACGGGCAGCGAGGACGTCATGAGAACTGGCGGCAAGAACAGAGCCAAGACAAAACTCGATGCGGATACAGTCGGGGCGTTGACCGAAGGAACCCTAAATAAGGAACGAGGCCTCTTTTACCCAGAGGTTAAATTTCGATTCCCCATAGAAGACCTCAGGAAAACCCAAGGCAAACTGTAAAACAATCAAGGAACACCGAGCCCCTCCCGAACGAAAAGGGTTCCTTCTTCAGCGCCCCGACTGTAAGACCTTGGTTTTCGTGGTTGCGAAAGGCCACGTGCCTTTGGCCACGCAGGGCCAGGCGGTCGGCCCTGGCCAGCTTCACGAGATGGGTAACACGGTCTTGAAGCTCGACGAGCCGGCGCAGCTCCAAGATCTGAAGCAGCGGGAAGCATGGTGCTACACGCTGCAACGAAGCAGCGCGACGTGGGCAGGCAAACCCTCCGACACGCTGTCACGCACAATCCTCTGGAGACCGTGCCATGCCAGCAGACGCCTGCCTGGACACGCAGGGCCTCAGCATGCAGCAGGGCTGAGGGAGCTGCCGACTTGGCCTGACAAAGCCAAACTCAAGCCACAGCTCCGCGCCGGCGCCAAGCTCTTCAAGACAACGCTGGGCCGCCAGCGGGCCCTGGGTCTGGAGCCCCGGCCTGCCACGCCTGGCCTCGGGCCAGCCACGAGGGGGGCCTCGGGAGGCCCCGGGGTGACCGAAATTCTACCTCGAGAGGGCCTCGAAACTTTTGGCGTCGGCGGCTAGGCATGGAGGGTGGCTGCGCTGGCGATGAATGGCATGAACGGGGGAGGGCCTCGAAACATGCAGGATTCCGCAGCTGGGTATGGGGGCCCAGGAAGCCCCCAGCTGCCCCCAAAGAAGCCTCCAAGAGGCCCTTAATGAGGCTCTGCGAGGGCTCAAAGTGGCCTCCCTGGGGACTCCAAGAGGGCCCGAATCACGACCTAGACCAAATTACATGGTGTAATTCGGTTTGGGGCCCTGGGCCATCCAGTGGGCCAGAAACAGAACAGGAGGAATGCAACGACACATGCGCGCGAGCGGAGATCTCTCCAAGCGGCCACATCGTGGGCTCAAGATGGGCTTATGGATCTCAGGTTTGAAGAGCGCGCCCGTCATCCTGATACACTTCTCCAGGCGAGGGGGAATTGCTGGGTTGCGGAAGCACTAAATGAACTCTTGCTGTCAGTTCTCAAGAAACACGCGCACCGTACCTGCCCACAGACCACCTCTTCCGCCAGAAGGAAGAAAGCTGAACAAGTGAGCCGCTTCTGTCAAGATGCGCTGGCTCTGCGGAAACCCAGACGCCTCCCTCCACCCACCCCCCTCCCCCCTCCCCCCTCCCCCCTCCCCTCCACAATTACTCAATATGAATACTACTCTCCCTCTTCCCCTCATGACGGCTTGAAAGTATTAGCCCCCCCCGCGCACTGTTTTTTTACACACAAGATTCGCCGGAGTTGGGTTTTCGCCTGCATGTTTTCCCAAATGCTGCTCTCGCTGAGGCGCCGGCCTCATTTTCGGGCCCCGCTCGTTCCGAATCGTGCTCCCGCTGCAGCGCTGGCCTCATTTCCGTGCTTCTGCTCGTTCCGAATCGTGCTCCCGCTGCAGAGCTGCTCTCATTTCCGCGCTTCCGCTCGTTCCGACTCGTGCTCCCGCTGCAGCGCTGGCGTCATTTCCCGTGCTATGCCACGGCATGCAATGCAATGCTAGGTTGATACTACGCTTTGCGGTGCTCTTCTACGCCATGCCACGCCGTGCTCTACAATGCATCGCGTACCCTTTCGGAATCATTGCCCTGCTCGACATCCGACTGTGCGAGTAGAGAGGGGATCTACGCCATGGTAAGGGATGGGAGGGAGAGGTAGGATGTCAGATGTGACGCGAGCGCACCTAGCTTGCCCCTCCCCCCTCACCCCTCACCCTCCCCCTCCCCCCTCCCCTCCCCCCCCCCCTTCCCCCCTCCACAATTACTCAATATGAATACTACTCTCCCTCTTCCCCTGATGACGGTTTGAAAGTATTAGCCCCCCCCGCGTACTGTCCTTTACACACAAGATTCGCCGGAGTTGGGTTTTCGCCTGCATTTGTTTCCAAATTGCTGCTCTCGCTGAGGCGCCGGCCTCATTTTCGGGCCCCGCTCGTTCCGAATCGTGTTCCCGCTGCAGCGCTGGCCTCATTTCCGTGCTTCCGCTCGTTCCGACTCGTGCTCCCGCTGCAGCGCTAGCCTCATTTCCGCGCTTCCGCTCGTTCCGACTCGTGCTCCCGCTGCAGCGCTGGCGTCATTTCCCGTGCCATGCCACGGCATGCAATGCAATGCTATGTTGATACTACGCTTTGCGGTGCTCTTCTACGCCATGCCACGCCGTGCTCTACAATGCATCGCGTACCCTTTCGGAATCATTGCCCTGCTTGACATCCGACTGTGGTAAGGGAAGGGAGGGAGGGGATCTACGCCATGGTAAGGGAAGGGAGGGAGGGTAGGACGTCAGATATGACGCGAGCGCACCTAGCTTGCTTCCTCCCCCTCCTCTTCCTCCTCCCCC